CACAGTTCACTAGGATCCGACGGTGAACCTCTCAAAACTCATCTAGCAGGCCTCATGTTTTTTTTTCGGTTTGAGAAACAGCACGCCTCATGGATGGGTCGCAACAGCCAGTCGAGCGGCCCATCTAAGTCCAGTCCTCAGCAAGTCGTTTCTTCCCTTCCGCCTTCGTCTTCGTCGCGTGGCCTCATGCATCGGCCTTCCTCTCCTCCTTGATGTCTTGGAGCCTTGTGCGTTGTCGCCCCGGATGCCTACAGGTGCCTTGGGGTAATGGGGCGTTCCCTTCCTTGCCCGCCGCATGGTGTCATCCTTGACAGGAAGCATGGAGGATCAGAGGATGTCGTGCTTGGACCGGGAGCATCTGAACTGTGCTAGCAATTATGCAGTAAATTGGAATACAAAGAATACATAGCATTGTGTGTTATAAATTGTGCTCTATTGTTATGGTATGGAATACAGAGAGTGCAAGTAGATGGTGCCTATGTCTATCATTCTAGTAGTATGGTTATCTGGTGCAACCTGAATGTATTTTGCAAGCGTGTATGAATGCCTTTTGCCACTTGAAAAACAGTTATGATAATTCATAAAAGCATTGTCTTATATAGCTGAACAACTTGAAAAATAGTTATGATAATTCATAAAAGCATTGCCTTATATAGCTGTTCAGTGACCACATTCAGTTATTCATTTCAATAATTTAGTGACCACATTCAGTTATTCATTATGCCACATTCAGTTATTTACTCATAACCACATTCAGTTATTTACTCATAATAACCGCATTCAGTAATTTTGCCATTTTCAGTTATTCATTTCGACAATTCAGTGACCATTCTCAAATATTTAGTCACAATATCACTTTACAGTTTCATATATATTTACTCATAACCTCACTTCACAATCTCATCTTATCTCCATCTCTGAACCTAAACAAGCACACATTGCCTTTTCTCTGAACCTGAAGAAGCACCAAGGGGTAAAAACTGCAGACTGTAGAACTGGTTCCTACTTCAATCCTTTCGTGTTCTCGAGATTAATCTATAAGCACCAGATGCACAAGAGCGTGAATCCCTTGATGAACCTGCGGAGCAGTGAGCCTCTGCCATCGTGATTTTAAGTTTAATTAATTTTAATATTATTAACGATATATAAATCTTAAGTTTAATTAATTTTAATATGGCTAATCATATTAATTAGTATTTTATTTTATTTTATTTATATACTTGAAGAATATATTTTTATTTATTTGAATTCAGTAATTGATATGTACTATCTACAATTTTCTTATAATTTATTATATATTTAATTATTGAAATATTGATTAAAACATTTTATTTTTGGTAGTTTTCTTTATCTACGGTGTTGTTATTATGTAGCTATATTTCGAATCCCTTTGTTCCATAATAATTTTATTATACTATAAAACTATTGATAAACAAATAGATATATGTTATATCAAAATCAAGTAGGTATGGATTCGAATCTGAATTCGAGATATCCGTTTTGCATTAGTATCCCACAATATCCGCATTCACATTGAAATTCGAATTAAAATGTGGTAAATAGAATCCGTATGGTGCGAATCCCATTTGAATCCATCCCTAACGAGAGCGGATTGGCGCTTGGCGCTGGCGGGCAGCAGGCAGCAGCCTGGGCGCTCTGCAGATCCGCGTGTCGGCGGCAAGCAGCGAAGGCCCATCATAGATCGCCCCCGCTGCGCTGCCGCTGCGAAGACTGCGCTTACGAAGGGGAGCCCTGCTCGTGCTCGGCGCAGGGATTCAATGAGCACATACGGAGCGCGCAGCACCACGCAGTGTACGCTGCCCTGCTCCTCCTGAGCGCGATCCGCCGCGAGTTTATTGCCGGCCCGCCACCGCCATTGCTGCGCTCCTGCTCTGCTGCTCTGGCACATCATCACAGGTACCTGCGCTGCGCTAACAGGGATTCTGGATTTGCAAATAACCCGCCTTGGCCCCTTGCATCTCGCATGCAGACGGGCGATGGCGTCCGGGTTTCTTCTTGGACTGGAGTCTGGACTGCGCCGCGCGCCCCCATTCAATGGCTTGGCAGCCGGCAGCCCGCCCCGGCCGGCCGGCAGTCATGAGGGGGAGGGCTCGTGTACGCGCCGGCGTGCATGCATGGGCAGGGCAGTGGACCTGCGCCTGCGCTGCATGATTCTCCGGTAGGACGTCCGGCCGGCTTCTGTTCTCCTTCAGGACTCCTGCTATGTCCTACGGAGTATCATTACAATCCTCCGCAGTGTACGCGCCTGGAATCTTTCAGTGGTAACGTTAACTGGCGTCAGGCTGCACCGGCGCCAGGTTGTTGGTTTTCTGCTTGGATGGATTTTCTTTTTCTTTTTTTTCACCATCTTATATCAACCGTTTTTTTCCTTTTTCAGTTTGAGAGTTTCTGTCCAAATTTCTTGTACACCACTCCCTCCTTCTATGCAAGAAGTTATATGTCGTGTGGTAGGGGAAAATCTTCCAAAGTAAACTTTGGTCCATAACTTCTCTTAAAATTATAAAAAAATTATTCTAGGATTGCTTTGGAAGACAATTTGGACGCAGATTTTTTCTAGGAAAGTCTTCCAAAGTAAACTTTGGTCCACCAGAAGGAAAGTCTTCCAAAGTAAACTTTGGTCCACCAGAAGGAAATTGTCTTAAAAGCCACTTTGAATTAAAACTATTGATGCAATTTCTATACACTAAACACGCATATAATTTTACAAATTGTTTATAGTAACTTTTCAATAGTCTGAGTATGCCTTACATTGATAGACTGAGAGAACACTAAAAGTTCGAGGGACAACCCCTGCTATTTTGCTTAAGGAACAAGAGTTTTCATCCAAATAGAGGCTACTTTGCCCCCTTCGTTTCAAAGCCAACTAATCATATAGTTCAAGCTCGAATTGGGTAGAATATATAGTCTTTGAATATCTAATTTGTTAAAGTAAAAGAATCTAGATAAATATTCTTTTTCCTTGAATACGTAAAAGGCTCGTGTATCGTTGTATCTAAAGTAGAATAGTTTGACCTTACAAACGATATGCTTCTGATCGAGCATGGGGGGGGTATTCTAAGGGTCTATTTGGCTCTTAGCCACAAATTGCCACAGCTAGTAATGTTAGATAAGTGTGGCTAGAAAATTGGAAGCAATATTTTTGCGATGCCTAAAAGAATATTGTCACATTTTTTTAATTTATATGATATGATGTGGAGCCAAAAAATTCTTGCTTAAGTTCTGTTTTCAACCAAACACTTATTAACTTGGTCAAACTTCCTTAAGATGAAGTGTGTCAAAGTGAGGCTAACAACCAAACACCCTCCGAGAGTTTACGAGCGATTCCTAGTGTACATATACGAGCTAAGCTAGCTCATGGATCAAACAAAAGCTTCTATCCATTGATCTACTTCATGCCATGCGCATATTATTGAAGAATGTTTGAGATCCAATCCACTACGTACTATACAACATACGAGGCTTAGAATCGGTACTTTATCCCTAAATCCTAATCCCACACCCCTTCCTAGAATCGGTACTGTTTCTAGCTTGGTATTAGCTTTACAAGCCGTTTTCGTGTATACACGTTTAGCAGAGCTTTTGATTAAACCGATTGAGAAGTCCCAACAAAAATCCTGCCAAAGATAACCTTAACCTCTGTTCCATATAATATTCATTATCTACTTCATGCCCATCGTTTTCCGCCGTAGCTTATTTTTATATTTTATAATATAATATTTGGTGTCATAGAAGGATGTTTCTTTTTCCTATAAGTTTTGTAAAACTTAAGATACTTTGACTTTAGGTAATTCTAGGGATTGATTTATTTTTGGAATGGAGGTAATATTATTTGTTAGGATTTGCGAAGTCCAGTCTCAACGGTGCTGTTGAGGGGGAAAGGTATGAAAATAATGATTTTCACCTGGTACTAGGAACCTCATGCATGTAGTCATTCATTTGCCCGTCGCTATCACAAGGATTTCCTTACTGTTCAGTACTTTCTCTATCCCAAATTATAAATTATTCCAACTTTCTTAGAAGTTAAAATCATCTCAAATTTGACCAAATTTATATAATAAAATAATAACATTTATGATACCAAATGAGTATCATTAGATTCTTCGTTAATTATATTTTTTAGAGTTTACCTATTTGATGTCATATTTTTTTTTGTAATTTCCTCTATGATTTTGGTCAAACTTGAGATGCTTTAACTCCCCAAAAAAATTAGAACGACATATAATTTAGAATGGAGAAAGTAGAATATTACAGTGATATATAATTATATATACTGCTGAAGTCTGAACTATGTTCAATCAATCACACGCCCAACATGTGTAGGAGTATATTTGCTTGACAAAGTTTGTAGTGTTGACGTGACTAGAATGGTGTAATCGTGGAATTAGCATAATTTTTTCCTTTCCGTGTAAGATTATTCTGGCGTCATATATATCCTGGTCAACTGACGCAGCGTGACTGTGTGAGGCTAAGAGCAGGTGAACGTCTGCGTCCACCCAGCATAAGAAATGGCAGAGAAGCTGTCTGTCTCTGGACAATTGCATCAGCAGATCAAGTCGATATCTTGATTAACAGGGACATTAGATACCCTCTCTTATCATGCATTTATATAATAATAACGGGCAAAGGGATACCATATCATATCACCATCAGCCATCACCTTATCGCGCTTGGTTCTTCTTCTCCCATCCATCTAAGCAAACGAAATGACGGCCCCAATGCAAGAACCGGACCCGCGCTAGCTGTTACTGTTAAATAACAATCTATAGCTAAAATAACAATCTATAGCTAAAATAAAGCCAAAAAAAAAAGGAGAAAGAAACAGCTGGTGAAATTGAAATGAAATATAGGGATCGATCGGAGCGAGGAAGAACTGATCGATGGCTCCTCATGCCTGGATTACAGGGGAAATTCAACTGAAAGCCTGCAGCAGCCTTAGTAGTTACACTAATAATACTGCATCGATAGGTTTTCAGTCCTCATCATGCAGACCACAGGGAGAGGACGGAGCCGTTGGACCATCTGTGGAGGAGCTCGCTCAGGCACAGCACCGCGTACACGAGCAGCACGAACTTGAAGAGGAACTGCAAGTAGTGCGAGACTTCAATGCTGGAGGCATGCAGCACCTGGGTTTTATAAGCTGTAAGCTGGCTGTTCTTGTGAAGGAGCAGAAAGAAATGACGAAGAAGCTAAGGTAGCCATATATACCATGGTTAATCCTGTCAGTTGTGATCTGTTCCCAGGCTTGGCCATCTGATTCTGATCGGATCGCAGCTTTCTGCTGCTGCTGAAGCTCTCGCACTGATGGGCGTCCGCGCCGGCATCGTCCTTGGGTGGTCTAGTAGCGCTGGAGCAGTTGCGCAGGCGCTGCACGTCCTTGGTCTTGAGGGGCTTGAGGATGAAATCCTCGGCACCAGCTGTTAAGCATCTGCTTTATCCATCCATCCATCCATCCATCCATCAAGCAAAAGTTGAAAGAGGTCAGAGGTGGTGGGCCTGTTAGTGCTGATGATGTGCAATGCAAATCTACTCCTTAAAGCCTTTCGTTTTTGAAAAGGCGAGCAAATCTAAATCCTGCCGGCTTTCAGAAAGGGCCTAAACTGATTAAACCATGCACAGAACATAGCCAGAGCAAAAGCGGCTTTCGCTCGCGTATGTATATGTAACGAACGGCATCTGCTTTGCCTTTGCGCAGTGATATGATGAGGCCGGGGAAAGGGGAAGAAGGGGATTTGGGTTTCCTTCGTTCTTCACCTGCTGATCCGCTGGGGCTCGTTCTCCGACGACATCACCACCACCGGGATCGGATTAGGGGAGCTCAACGCCTGGCAGTTAATTGCTCCAACAATTCTTTCAGTTTCATTTCATTTCAGCTAAAAAGGATGACAGGATTAATTTGAAGTCTGCAAGAAGAAGATTAACTACCTTGATGGCCTTGAGGAGGTCGTAGCCAGTCATCTCCGGCATGCAGTAGTCAGTGAGCACGATGTCAACGGTTAGCTCCTGCAAAACGATTCTTATATCAGACATAGCGCCTTCATCATATAGAATAGGAGTAAGAGTATGTATGTTTCTGCTTGTACTTGCAGTCAAAGATTTCATCACGTCATACTACACTGCTCAACTTATCAGCACGGTCATTTTTCAGTAATAACACACTTGTCTAAATCAGTACACGAGTAGGAGTAATGAAGACTGAAGAGACCTTTCTTCAACGCTTTTTGGACAGAGGAGGGACCGGATCGCGCGCTGCTGTATCCATCCCATCCGCATCCCCATGGAAAATCTTGCCGATCAGCGCCGCCATCCAAATTCAAGTTTTTTCACTCTCTCTCCATTACATCAATTTTTAGCCACTTGCATGGAGTATTAAATGTAGATAAAAAAATAACTAATTACACAGTTTAGTTCGAAATCACGAGATGAATCTTTTGAGCCTAGTTGGTCCACGATTGGACAATATTTATCAAATAAGACGAAAGTTGTACTATTTATCAGGTTCATTTTTTTTTGCAAAATGAACGAGGCCCAGGTAAAAATCTGTAGTACTCCGTATGATTTACTAGTCCTAGCGTTCATTAATTCGATCAAAGTCCCCAAGCGGAAAACAGAGAACTACTCCACGTAGCTTCATCTAGAGAGAAGAGACAGCTTGGCATCTGCAGATATGTACGGAGGTCTACGATTGGGCCGGCGAGTACACGAGACTGGTCGTTCGTTTGGGTGGTGACTGGTGTAGTACTCACATTAGCATGAGCGGCAGATGAATCCAGGCTCTCTTGTCCCATCAGCCGGAGATGCTCCATTGCCTTCTTGCCGCTGTCGACGGCGGTAACTGAATCAACAAGGAACGGAACGAAATCCATGTCTTAGTTTAGACTGCAATTCAATTTTGTTTTCTTCTTGATTCTATACAGTAATGAGCAACTGACAGACGAATGGATGGATGAAGCTTGATCATACCATACCATGCAGTGTTAAAGCAATGTCAAAATAGTAGGACAATAGGGTTGCAGTGCAGTTCATATCATAATACATATATATTCCCGGATCAGAGTAATCGTGAAGCAACCATGTGCCATGTGCCATGCACGAAGATGATCACGGCCGCCGTCCGCCGAGACGGGTCATCATGAGCAGCAGGGAGGAATGGAATGGGCGGACGGAAACAAGGGAGCCGAGCAAGCGAAAGTAAGGAGCAGGAGCCAGGAGCTGACCGTGGAATGGCGCAGCGCCGCCCTTGTGGTTCCGGAGCAGCAGCTCCACGACCTTGCGGTCGACGGGGGAGTCGTCCACCACCAGCACCCTCGTCGCCGGCGCCGGCGCGGCCTTCCCTTCTCCTTCTCCTCCTGCTCCTGCTCCCATCCTCTTCCCTCCAGGCCCAGGCGCGCGCCTCGCCTCACCTCGTCTATCTTCGGCCCTCGCGGTGGTGCTTGCGGACGGTGTGATGGTGAGAAGCAGCGAACCAAGGCGAGACGACGGGACGACGGTCCACTGTCCAGCCCAGGAACAACCGCGGGGGGGCTTCGACCAGTAAATAAGGGGTGGTGGAGCGATGAGAGAGAAGGAAGGAGGAGCTCTCCGTCCCCGGGTCACAGTCTCCTCACAGTGCAGGCCTACTGCAGAGGGAGAGAGAGGAATGGAGGGAGGGAGGGAGACAGGGCGCTGCGCTCTCCTCTGAACCCGCGGATGCGGAGCAGAGCAACCAGAGAGAGAGGAGAGACGCAAGGCAACGCAGCAGAACAGAGGAAGAGGAGGAGGAGGAGGAGGAGACGAAGGGTGGTGGGTCCCGCGTGGGGGTGGGAGGGTGGTGGGCCCGCGGGAATGCTTTCCTCCGGATTTGCTTGTCGGGGGGGGATCTCTCTCCACACTTTCTCTCTCTCTCTCTGCTCTCTTCTTCCCCTTTTCTTTTCTTTTCTTTTCTTTTTGCCGAACCGAAACCAAAACCAAATCAAAAGGCCGTATAGTATGATTAATAATGGTAAATGATAATAATGCAGTTGAGATTCGTGAGATGGTATGACTTCGACAGTGATTTGGTTTTAATTGCAGATACGCTACCAGATCACGAGTCCAAAGCTGGTAGGCCACACCCACACGGATTTACTCATTAATGTGCCTCCAGCAGCCTCCACATGTACGTACGAGTATTTCAGTATAACTACTAGTATTGCACTAATGTAATTTGATGTCGTGCGGACTGTTTTTTCGAGTTTAAAAAAAATGTGACGTAATCGAAATCTCGTATCGTGATATGGAAGATTTATTTTGCTGGATACTTTTAAGAGCCTAGAAGCAGCCCAGGAGCAGCCGCAATCACCCATAGAAAATCAGTTCAGTTCAGTTTCAGTTCCATGGTGTTGAAAAAGTTGGGTGCACGTACTACCGAGTATTGCATCGGTTGGTGGGTGGTGGCGCAGCACAAGTTTGCCCGGCAAAACTCTGCCCAAAGGCACGCGCGCACGATGGCGCCCGGCAAACAGAACCTGCAGCCGTCCATCCGGGGCACCGGACGGTCCGGATCAGCGGACGGCGACGGGGTGTGTCACCCTCGCGACGCCAGTGGCCAGATTCCTCTATTTCGGGAGGAACCAGATCGCCGAGATCTCCCCAGCCCCACCTGTCACAACCTAAGTCTGTAGCTGTCGACGGCATCTTTCCTCTCATGGTGGAAATGGACTGTGACACAAGATGCCAGGTGGAGCTTAGGAAATGGCTTTGCGCCCATGCCAACTTAAACCACCGGTGGTAACAACGGTAAGGTGAAGTTTTGGTTGAATTTTTTAATATATTCAAGAAAATTGCTACTTATCTATCAACATATTTCTTAAAAATAAATCTATCAAATTTCTCACCGCTGGATGCGAAATTCCTACATCATCTCCTCCTAGCCTTATCTTCTTCTCCTTCCCATACACGTCATGTCGGGTGTCCATAGTAGGGATACTCAAAGCAAGAAAGTTAGCGTCAACGCTGACTTTCACGGATGGAGCAAGACGTATTAAAGAGGTCTTGCATGACCCCTTGGGTGCGGGCTCCGTCTCACCCGACCCCAAGAACGCGGTTTCCGTCTCGCCCGACCTCGAGGCCGCGGGGTGTCGCCCAAGGACGCAGGCTCTGTCTCGCCCGACCCCTTGGGTTCGTGCTCCGTCTCGCCTGACCCCAAGGCTGTGGGCTCCGTCTCGCCTGACCCCTTGGAAGCGGGCTCCGTCTCGTCCGACCCCAAGGACGCGGTTTCCGTCTCATCCGACCTCGAGGCCGCGGGGGTCTCGCCCAAGGCTGCGGGCTTTGTCTCACCCGACCCCTTGGGTTCGTGCTCCGTCTCGCCCGACCCCAAGGTCGCGATTTCCATCTCGCCCGACCTCGAGGCCGCGGGGGTCTCGCCCAAGGACGCGGGATCTGTCTCGTCCGACCCCATGGGTTAGTGCTCCGTCTCGCCCGACCCCAAGGCCGCGGGTTCCGTCTCACCCGACCCCAAAGCCGCGGGCTCCGTCTCGTCCGACACCAAGGACGCGGTTTTCGTCTCGCCCGACGGGGACCCATACCGCCGCCAACCACTCCGGGTCCAAGTGTATGGGCCTGGATCAAAACTCTAACACCAGGGAAGAGACTGGCATGCCTCGATGTAACCCGTGGCCATGACGGGCTATACCTGAGGATCCACATCAAGAACAGTGTCGGGCATGCCGGTGCTGTTCTGCTTAACCCTCGTACGAACGCTGACAGGCGCGTCAGTTCACCACGACGTCACGCAATGACCAGCAGATGACGCCTATGCATGACGCCAGTGACAAACAGGGTCGCGACGTGGAGTCGCCCCTATTGACATCTACAGAATCAGCGGGACCCGCATAAAGGAGAAGAAGGAAACGACGATCCTAGAAGCCTTCTTATCTCTCTCTTGTTCTTCACCTTTTCCTCCACTGTAACCCATGCTTTTCCTTCGCTTATAAAAGGAAAAGCAGGGCACCCCAGGAGAGGGGGGCCAGACCACAAGATAGAAAACACAAGAGCACAACACGAGCACACGACTGAGCAGCGATCGAGCTCTCAGCACCCGTTCACTTCCTCCACCAGAGACTTGGGATCCTCTCCCTCTCTCGTCTGTTTGTAACCCCTACCGCAAACCAAGTGCTGGTAACACGAGCAGCAACGAACTAGACGTAGGGATGTTCCGCCCGAACTAGTATAAACTCTCGTGTCCTCCGAGCACACCATCCAAGCCAGACACGCAAATACAAATTTACTCGTTGGTGGTCCGAAAACATCGACAGTTGGCACGCCAGGTAGAGGCTTTTTACGCGTCTAGACGTCTACATCAGGCCTTGGATGGCTAGTCATGGCGTCAGCTGGCTCCCGGGCGTGCACGTGCGCTTCGGGAACCTAGACTTCATTGTCACGATGGAGGGAGATTTGGTGCAGGCTCCCATCGCCGTCCAACCTCTCCACTCCACCGACCTCGACACGATCACCGAGGCACTTGAGGAGCTATAGCTACACGCACCGGAGGCCCGTGCCCTGGGAGCGACCAGCTCCTCGGCTTCGATTATGGGAGGCTAGAGCGCCAGCTCGGCGTCTTCCTTGGACCCCGACCATCCCGAGAGGACCTAGGCCGCCTCACCTTCTCGTTCGCCAACGTCATGACGTAGCTTGCCGGCGGAGAGCCGCTCTCCCCAGAATGCCTCATCTAGAGCGCCCCGATAGTGCTCCCGTTCGGTATGCGCAATGCCGCAGAACCCGTTGGCCACCTTGTGGCGCAGCGCACGCCCCAATCCCCTACGGACAATGAGTTCGTGGGGATGACTGAATACGTTATGGAATCTTTCCATGACCTTTTGGCGAGAGAATCGGAGTCGCCCTCCGACTCTGACACCAGCAGGGGGAGCTATCACCCCTCGCGATAATGTTTTATGGTAGGTACCTCCGAGAGATACGTCGAGAGTATCCATGAGGGAGGGGCTACCCCAACAAACGACCTCGACGACAAGGTCGAGGGGAACACAGGGGCCCCCGCCTCACCTGCTGGTAGAGCAGCTGAGGGCGCAGCACCCAGAGCTCGAAGAAGCACGACTCCAACTCGAGCAGGAATGCGCGGAGCTTGAGCGAGAGATCAAGCACCACGGAGACGGTGGGCGTGCGCACGCCGTGGCTTACGACATGAACCGAAGGATCATCGAGGACGATGAAGCCCTCCCACACTTCACCTGGGCAAGCCAGAACATCGCTGCTGCGTTGGCCTTGCTCCGGGGGCATCCGGGGCCCACGACGCCCGAGGATCGCCAGGTCCATCATGAGATTCGCACACTACTCGAGCATGCGGCGGCGCAGCAGGCCAAGAGCTCGCTGTCCCAACGACGCGAGCTCGATGCCAGCCAGTGCACGCCCTTAGAGCGACCCGACAAGGACATGTTAGTCCACCAGGCATAGCAAGGCGGTAGGCCGCGCACCGAGGTCCCTATGCATGAGCGTCTCGGCCTCCACCATGACGCGCGCGACACCCTAGATGCCCGTAGGCGTGGCCGCAGTGATGCGAGGGAGGAGGCTAGCCGTGGCTACCACCCTTGTCGTGGTAGATGCTACGACAGCGGCGAGGACCGATGCCCGAGCCCCGACTTACCAGGACCTCAGGGCTTTGGCCGACACATCATCAATGACGTCTTCCCACCGCGGTACCGACCACCGACCAACATCCAAAAATACTCCAGGGAAACGAACCCCGGACTATGGCCCGAGGATTATTGGCTTGCTTGCCAAGCTGGTGGAGCGGATAGTGATGATTTCATTATCCGCAACCTTCCATTGTTTCTGGCTGATTCGGCGTGAACGTGGTTGGAATACCTTCTGTCCAACTGAATCCAAAGTTGGGTGGACCTAAAAGAAATCTTCGTGGGAAACTTTCAGGGCACATACGTGTGTCCTAGGAACCCATGGGATCTCAAAAACTGCTGACAAAAGTCCAGGGAAACTCTTCGTGGGTACATCCGGTGCTTCTCCCGGTAGTGCAACGAGCTGCCCAATGTCGCTGACGCCGACATCATAGGAGCTTTCCTGTCCGAGACCACTTGCGAGTCCCTGGTTCATAAGCTGGGACGTAAGGGCCCGCAAACCACCAAGGAGCTCCTCGACATCGCCACCAGCCATGCCTCAGGCGAGGAGGCGATCGGGGATACAAGGCGCCACCCTCCTCGCATGATACCCCCCGATGACGTTGGCCCAGCGGAGGCCATGGGTCTTTAGGAACGCAATAGCCTCGAGGAGGTCACGCATCCTCTTCTTCTCCTTGATGGGTGGCCCCCATGGCCAAGACGATGGAACCTCTTCGATCAGACGCCCGGAGAAGACAGGCAAGGGTGTGGCTGGGTCAT